GAAAGAGCCGGAGTATGCTATACTTTTTAAGGGTTCAAATTTGTTAAAAATGGAGCGAGAGTTAATTAACAGGACAGACAAACTGCAGGCTTCAAGTGAGGTGGGGCGGTGAGAAAGTGTAGGTAATATTGGTGGGTTGGTACGCTGTTTATAATGTAAATGGCGTCAATATGAAGCCGGGGCGAAAGTAAAAGAACCGGCGTGAGCAGTGTGTACAGATGGGTAGCTGTTGTTATAGCAGTTGGTGCGCGTATCACTGGAAGGGGTTAAGGGAGCTGAAGTGCACGAGTGAGAGTTAGGTGGTGAAGTCAGGGACGGGATATAGCCAGAAAAAGGTTGTGCACGAGGTAGGGAGGGTATTGCGGGAATTGTGGGTGGTAGGGAAGCCTTAAGTTAAGTGGTTGGAGTCGAGGTAGAACAGAGGTATAGGGGGCGGTAACTTCCTGGTTTATGGGTTTTGAGTTATAATTAGGGACACGGTTGAGTCGCACAGGAGGAGGGCTATGGATGAGGCCGCGAGAGACCGCGAACGGGGTAGGGTGAGGTCCGGAGCCATAGAGGTTGGGTAAGCAATATAAGTTAGTTGCTGACTTGGGGGGGGGGTGAAGAGGAGCATGCAGTGTAAGAGCAGAAATATGTGGGCGAATGGATCCGGTTGAGTTTTTGGGCGCTCCACAGTGAGGCGCGGCATGCTGTTAGAATAAAATGAGAGGGAGCTGGCAACTACATTTTTTCGGGCTTCGCAGCCATAACTTGTTAGTCGCTGCTAGTGGTGTAACGCAGTCAAATTGTCAAGGATGGTTCCTTTAGAATCGTTAGCGTTAAAAGGGGGCAATGATGGTTTACCTACCGCTAAGGGAGAAAACGTTGAGAAAGCGCTTAACAAAAGAAATGTGGGGTAGGGTAACAGAATCAGCAAGAAGATCTAGAGAAGTGACTTCTGGGACAAAAGTGTGGGGAAATGGAATTCGGTGAGAATTGAAAAAGGAAATTAAATCGTTAAAAAAAATCCCAGAAACTCACGTTAACTTCAAATCGCGCGGCAATCGAAATGATCTCAATCTGGGGAATCTGAGCACTAAATTTTGATTGTCGTAGATCGTGTTTATCTCCAGATGAGGAAATGTCGATGGGTGATTTTGTTGATTCAGACTTCCGTGACCGCAATTCATGCAATACCAGATACAGTTTTATGTCATTCAATCACCGTTCAGGAAGCTCGGCCAATGGTACACCGGTTGAACATCTACGAAGCAGTGTAAGTCAACCACTTCGCACTTGAGTGACGCGTAGTCGAAGCCGCTACGAATCCCGAAATAAAACACGATTGATCCGTAATGTTCTACGGTACTGAATTAGCGAAATCACTACAAATGTACAATAAAGCAAACCTCAAATGTGCGGCCAAAAACACTCAAGTAAGCGAGTCAAATATGATGTCCAGATAGAGCCAAACAGTCACTCACGTTCTCTGACCACGCAAAATTCAAATGTGCCGGGCATCGAATTAACAGATAAAGAATAATGTATGGTGTTTGTGATTGAGAAATGTCAGTAGAGAAGCAACACACAGATAGGGTTATGTCACCATAAATCATCATGGGTTTGGAAGGATTTTCAAAAATTCAACATGAAAAACAAGCAGTATCACTCGGCCGTACTCTCATCAGAGGCAGAGAGAAAGTGTCCCCAATTCTTGGCTCACCGAGAGTTCCCAGTGCAATTGATTGGTGGATTGTGTCGCGATGATCAATTGGTAATCCCACCGCCACTACGGAAGACGGTACTAGATGAATTGCATAAAGGACATATGGGAGTAGAGAAGATGAAATCATTGGCTCGCCAGATGTGTTAGTGGCCGGAGTTGGACGCAGACATTTACGCAACAGCAAAGAACTATAAGTCATGTTTACATAAACTACGAACAAGACCGAAAAACTGGACACCATGGCCGAAATGTTACATACCATGGCAAAGGGTTCATTTGGAGTTCTGTGGTCTATTTCGGAACCTGTACTACGCCCTTGTTCTAACCAATTCATGCTCCAAATGGCCAGAGGTATTCTTTATTACTATGCCTACTACACCATTTGTGATACAAGTGCTACGGAAATGTTTTAGTCGCGAAAGGAATTCCACAAGTGCTTGTGACGGACAATGGATCCTAGTTATGTGCGACCGAAATGAAGCTTTGGATGGACAGGATCGGTTGCCGACACCTTCGAACTGCGCCTCGTCAACTCTGTGCAAACGAAGCGCCAGAGAATTTAGTCAAAATGGTCAAGAGCGCGATTGCGTCTGCCAATCCTAAAACGCTACATGAGTTGGAAACTTTGGTGGATAACTTCCTACTTCAATACCGAAATGCAACACACACAATCACCAAGGACAGCCCGGCAATGCTTTTTAAATCCAGACGCTTGCGATCCTCCGTACAGTGCCTTGACTTCAATGACGTCGTATACTTCTGTGGTAATGATTTGCCACCCGCGTCTGGTATAGTCACACGACAAGTGGGCCAAGCCACGGTGGAAATTACTGACTTGAATGATGTTACTGTGCACAAGCGACACGTGGACCAAATCCACTTCAAACCATCCACAGATCAGCGGCATCAAAATACAAGCGAGGGAGACAATCAGGTAAATACCTCGTCAAAACAACCGACGGAGCCGCATCAGTCAGATGCGCAGACACAGCCATTCAAAACGCAAGGACACCACCAGGAACCTGCGGAGCAAACGATTGCAGTCTGCAGGTCTGGTGATAGGATAAACTCGGGTTAGCTCCCAACGCTCCATGGTATTGAACGCGGTAATCATAATAAATTCAAAAAGAAGAGTACCCACCAGATCCCAACCGCAGAAGCCGTCAAAATAGTGAGTTATCACGTCAACCAATTAAGGAAAGAGAATTGAGAGGAAAAGGAGAAATAAAACGCATAGGTCGTTTGATGAGAGAATAACTCTCTCGGAGATGGGTAAGGGCACCGGCATACTGCCTCCGTAACTGCAAACAGCACTCATGCTCACGGACAACCCCTCACACGGTGCATTCAACTACACACCAAAATCCTTATCGGATCGGCCGAGTTATGTAGCTCTGGGGCAACCTGTGGGTCCAGTGCTTCGGATACGGTTCTGTCAAGGTGAGGGGGGAGATCCACCTCATTCCCTCTATTTACCTAACGCACTACTTTTCTTTACTCTTTACCGCGACTGTTGGAAGAATGTTTGCATGGTTTGGTTGTACGTCCTGGCGGTCTAGAACGGCTTTTATAAAGTAAGGCGCCATTCAAACACTGCGAAGCGTGTGGAGGCAAGTGCTGTATGAACCTCGTTCATGCCCGTCAATCCCTGTGAATCTATGAACGCTTGATTGATAAGAGCCTGTACAATCTGAACATTCTGCCTTTTGGAAAAAACTATTGACTGAAAGTGCTGGAAGCCAACACAAGGAACTGGATGTGCGATTGGCAGGAGCCACAACTGTTTAACCACTGAACGCGCGTGCTTCGAATTTTGGAGTGGAGCGTTCCGATGTAGAATTAGGCCGACAATAAGAGGAGGAAACACTTGAGAGTCCAATTTCCTATTGGAAAATTAGCGGTAGCGCAATTTGTACCGAGCCTTCCGCGTTGGAGATCGGAACTCTGAATCTGGGAGCCACAACTGAGCGGAATCCGGGTGGCAGGACCAACGTGACGAATTCCCGTCCACTAGGCTACAACATTTACTGGCGAGAGTACTACCTAGAGTTACTTATCCTTGGTTTTTATCATTTTTGTGTAGGGTTTTCATCTTTACACACACACCTTTTTCCGGATACAGTCTTGAAGCGTGTCTAGACAAGTGCCATGGTAGCTCAGAGAAATCCTCTTAAAGTGGCTACACGAGCCAAGCAGGTTATTGCATCCTACCCGTGTGCCAGAAGAGGGTGTTCTCTCAAGGTGGTTGAGGGCATTCGTTGTGATCTGTGCCAAAATTGGTTTCACCAACAGTGCAGTAAACGAACTTCCAGGGAAGTTGAACGCTATGCTGTCCACAAGCTTCTGAAATGGATTTGTCCAAACTGCACTAGCTCTATCGGAATATCCAGGGCGAAAACACTGCTTCCGAAAGGAAACTCTCCTTCACAGTTGGCAGTACAAGCTCCTCCGTGTAAGTCGACCCCAAGTAGGGAGATAATCAGAAGTAAACCCGAGCTAGGGACCCTCTGATGCCTGGGGAGGGAAACCAGCCTGGAGTAGTTAACGACCGGGAATGGATTTTAGTGAGGGAGCCTGAGCGTGATGTACAACAAACCACGTCAGTGGCACCCCTAAGCCGAAGGGTAAAATGCAGTCCTAGGGCACTCGTTGACAAATCGGCAACCACAGGGATTAGTGTGCAGGCCGCCGGAAACATGCGGTGAACCAAGAAAGCTAACCTGTGTCACTTGCCGCCAGGGAAAGTGGCGCTTGATGCACGCATGGACGTTCACGACGAGGCCATTGCGTATCTATCCGAACTAACAACCACTTTGGTAGGCTCCCTGCATAGGCTTGAGGCCCATACCAACACAACCCTAGGGAGAAACA